TATATATATATATATATATATATATATATATATATATATATATATATATATATATATATATATATATATATATATATATATATATATATATATATATATATATATATATATATATATATTAGGGGTACCTTTGCTATTTCTCTGCGCGTTATGAGGTTTTGATTTGCTCTTTTACGCTGGGCTTGAGAAAGTCGTTGAGCGCATAATTTCAAATCGACTTTCAGGCGATTTCCGTCAAACACCGGTGCCTTTGGAGCTCCCCACATACTACTATATAAGTATATATGGGGTGGTATAGTAATTTGAGTATCGAACAAGAAGTATTCGAAATCAGAATACAGTTGAAATCAAACTTGTGATTGTGGGCAATCGGAAGTCTCAGGACTTTTGCATATAGAACTTTCTGATTGCTATTTTCCTGTACGTACTGAAGATGCCGTAGGTATGTATGTGTATATTAATATGTAACTATCAAGTATGGTGCCAATACAAAACATAAAAATAATAAATAAATACGTCTCTGTACATCATTTTTTAGATTCACAAGTATTGTCGAATTAAAACATCAAAGAAGGACTAAAAAAGTATGACTCATTCGGTATCACATTATTTATCCTCTGATCTCTGAGTGACTGGGGCCTGGGCGGCTGAGCCCCTGAGGAATCGGGGATTGGTTGAGATTTCCGTCGGCCCTCTGGAAATGTCTGGGGTCGAACAGCAATTTTGGCAAACAGCAAGTTCACACCGGCGTTCTCGCAATTGCCATTTGTCCGAATTGCCTTTTGACCGCATCATCAACCAGAGCGCAGTTTTCGTACATACATAAATGATATATAAATTTTCGTTTTACTATTTACTTAGTGAAGTTCAGCCTCTCTGTCCTCTCCTGGTCTCAGCTGTGAGCGTCAACTCTCAACTCTCAAAGACTCAAGTCGTCAGACTTCAGGTCGTATACGCACCGATCTACCCAGGAATGGAATACGAACCTTCTGGTCCCAGGCGTTAAGCCTCTCAACAATAAGCCAAACCCTTATTTACAGAAAGTCAACAATGGGCTGATATCTCTCTTTTAGAGATTGTTTTCAGCCCACCCTCAACTGCAATAAAATTTGACAACAAAATTATCAAGAACATATTTCAATTTTACGATGTTGATCATTTCCGGTCGCCAGAAGCATAGCCTACTGAATCATCTAGAAGGTAGACTTCCCCGTCTCTGTACCTTCTCGCGGTGGCATCGTTTTATTCAGAGGTTTGACAATAGTATTCCGTCCTAGCATGGTCAAGTAAAGGTCAACTTTGTATTAAAATATTTTGTATTCCTATGTATGCTCGAATACAATTCGAACCCGAGGAGAAATTCAGAGCTGAGCAGCAGAAGTGGACTGACGTTTTTCTGTTCAAATTTTGTATCACCCATGATGCCTCATTTCACGGGCTTCCCGCTCGGTTTGTGACAGGAATTTCTAAATATATATACCTTGTCCGTTAACGGCAAACGCAGCGCAACTTTGAAGCCTAGAAAGTGGCCTAGTACGTGGAATAAATCTGGGGATAATACAGGGCGCTGGATACTACAATGTCCGAGCTACTATAATATGAAAATACTTGTGTAAGTAATCGTTAAAATTGTCAATTTAAATTTCGCACTACAGATACACATCGAGCCAACCGTCACAGGCGGCCTTGGTTTGGGTTGTGACGCATCGCACTACAACCAGTCAGTTCTCACGAAACAATTATACTGACTCTCAGCTCAGCTATTTGCGAAATTCAGAATTAGGACCAGGTCTCCAATTCGGTGTATCGGTTTGTGTTGCAGATAAAACCGACTCCGGATTCTTCGAAAAAGAATGTATATACAAACAATTGTACAGTATATATACTGTATATTTATCTATTTACTACTTTCATTTTTTTATTCTCGGTAGAGTCCTCGGGCCTCTGCCTTTGAAAGTAAATGTTACAAACATGTTTACTACATGCTATATAACAATGCTATCTGAATATTGTTGAGTGTCGAAAGTACAAGCTCACTAGGCACTAAGTATACACTACTCGATTTATTATCCCACCACAAATTGCAGCAATAGAACGATTCTGGATGCGCTCATTGAAATCCTAAAAGATTTTTAACGTTTAAAACTGTTTGCTTTATTAGTTACAAGGTTAATGACAGCTATCTTAAACTATTTGTGTGCATACTTTAGGGCTGTAGTATATTTAAATCTCACACCATACATGCCCAGGATCCAGCCAGCCATCAAAGGCTTCTTTGTCTTGGGTTGCTCCATCACACTGATAGCCAATTCTTAAGCAGCCATAACATTGACTTTCAGCACAGCTAAGGTATTTGGAATTACCGCCAGCAGACCATTTCGGTTTGTCGGTTTCTGTTGGAGAAGAAACGATATCCGTAGTCGGTGTCGACTCTGTAGCTAAAATAGACATATAGGTGGACTCGATCGTTGGCGTGGCGGATACTGTAGTTGATGAAGCTATTATTTCGGATGAGGACACAGTATACGTGCTCGAGATAGACGATGTAGTAGCTGTGCTGGGCGAACTACTTGGCATGCCCGTTGATGTATCGTCACTTGTGGTGTATCTTTCTGTCTCCACTGGAATACCTTCGCTAGGGTAGCATGCGTCGTATCCATATTGTGCATTCATAGCGCAAGTGATGGGGGACCAGTCGGTGTAGCACGCACGCCAACCATTATTCCCTGGGTGCAGGCAGCCGACACAGTTTCCGCACTCAGCATTCATTGGTGGAGTGGCACCATCTGTGGTACTTGCTTCAGCTGTGGTGATTGTTGGAGGCATTGTGGGAGCTGCAGTGGGCTTAGGAGATGGGGCAACACCACCGTATTCACATTCTGGTCCGGTTGGGTTATAGCATTGCAATACTGAGGCGAATTCCCCATATTCACCAATAGCTTCGGGTGGACAATGTTCGTTGAAACCAGTCCCCATTAAATTTTGTGGTTTTCGAAGGGGAAGCGCATTCATGAGTGCTTCAGAAGGAAGCGTATTCGTGGTCGCATCTGGTCCTTGCACATCATCGATTCGGATGTCCGCGCAATTCCAAAACTCCTCGGATATTTGCATGGGATTTTGGCTGTGATTCTCTGGAGGGCACGAGTTGGTGGCTAAATAGTGCCATCGCAGTACGCAATTGGTGCAATGAACATTGGCTGGTAGCTGGAACTGGGTCTTCAGCAAAACAGTGCCAGACGGAACTGTTTGTGCCATATACCCACCGTTAGCGGTGACTGGGTACAGCGATTTTTCGACTCGAGCAAGGGTTTCCACCATTTGGTGCAATCATGCACATTGGGATCACAGTTCGGACGTGTGAGTTTATGTTGAAAGAAGCACTCCTCAATCACAGAGCTGCAAATCAAAATATATATCCCAAGTGATGTGCAGTTACTATTACGGATACGTCTATTACACTACCCTGAGTGTATGTTGCTTTAGGTGCGGTTGGCACATTCCAATTCTGAGGACTCTCGTGCCATTTGTTTCCGCAGAGGCCGTGGCGGTAGGATTCACCCATCAATACTGTACCTGGTCCAACTGCTGCCAAAGACTGTGGCTCGTAGTTGTTTGGCACATTTCTCGCCTCTGGCCAAGGTAGATAAGCATGTCCGAGGACACTACCATTGTGAATTAAGCCGAGGGCTACCGCGAAGAGAGTGCCGGTTTTCATACTACCTTTTATATCGATTTCGGACTCTCAATGTTGAATCTGATGGACTGATATTCTTATGTGTCTTTTGTGACTAACTTTTATACTTTGAAAAAGTATGGTTTGTTGGTGTTGCGAATGCGATCATAAAAGTATATCATACCCTCCCTCTATGACAGTATTTCTTTTCGGGTTTATGCATTCGGGAATCTCAAATGGCGATATCAAAATTAGGTTCATCTCACAATTCCACATACATCCTAACGCTTAGGCATCCTGGCATCGTTTCTTAAATATGTTGTGCAACGTGCCAGAGATATTGGTTGTCTGGTAAACATGTATATATGACTCCGGCTACATTTTCTATATATATATATATATATATATATATGTGTGTGTGTGTGTGTGTGTCAGAGTGTGTATATATATATGTAAATATATACATATATAT